CCATTTTATCCATTTATCCATTTGATATCCGGATATCCATGGATAAATGGATAAATGGATAATGGATTGGAACTCTAGGAAGGTGAATATATGTTTGGCTCCCTAGTTTCAACTCGCATAAGTAGAATTTAGTTAAACATAAAAAGCCTTACTTTTTTAAAAACAGTATAGTAAAACTTTTCAGTGAATCTGATTATACCAGATTAAATTTGAAAGTAGGTAAACGAACTAGCTGTCAAGATGCTTGTAAAGTTTTGTGGATGATTAGTATGTTACACAAGCTAGCTTGCATATAAGCAAAATTGGTCTTTTCTTATTTAAGTACTATGAAAAAAATTTTTGTGATTGGCCAATCAAATGGATTTTAATCATGCTGTTAGAGTAATGAGTTTTTTATATTATTATCTAAAAATAGAAAATATCGTGTAACCATGGTGAAAATAGCAAATTACCATGGTGGAAATAGCAACTCCCTTTTTTTAACTATTACAACAAAAATTAGATGAGAGCTAAAATTTTAGCCATTTTAGATATTAAAACTAATTGAATTTAATTAAAAATAAATAAAAATTTAAAATTAAATCTAAAAGCTTTAAGAATTAATAGGATTAAACTTTAAACATTTTTATATATAGTATTGACAAAAAATTGAGTTGATTTAATAAAATAGTTACTAAGAAACTAATTTTTAAAGTAATTTTACTATTTTGGAAAATTACATGTTGTATACTTAGTGAAAACATAGTAATTTTAAAAACTAATTTCTCATTAAAATTGCTCAAGTTTTGGATCTTCTTTAGTATAGCTGGGCAATATAAAAATATTATAAGATTCCTAACTTTAATCTAACTATAATTTAAACTATAACTCTCACCCTAACTATTTATAAATTTGCTTAAATTAGTTTAAATGGTTATATAATCTTATAATAATTCTATATTGCCCAGCTATACTAAGATCAACCGGTGACTGTATGGGGGGGACAAATTTAAATAAAATCTTAAAAAAAAAAAAAAAAATTAATTAATAAGTTTTTGAGTTATAAGCCAAGTTCTTAGACGTAGAATCATTTTTGCCACTACTCTGTAGTAGTATCATGTGAATTTGCTTTGTAGGAAAATTCCAATCCACGTAAAACATATTAGTAATTGTAATCTATATTATATAACATACTCTATTCCAAATATTGCAAAATATACAATAAAAAAGCTTTGATAAACCAAATAAAAAAATAATAAAGTACTATGAGCTTTAATAGCTTAAATAAATTGATTAATAACCAGCTTTATTAGGTGGCTTGAAACCATAAAGAAAGAATAATATGTAGTGTATAACTTTTATAGTAAAATATAAATTAACTTGGTAATTCTCGATCGTAATTGAATCAAACTCTATTCAGAGATGTCTATTATTACAAAATTTGGCCTTGGTAAACAGCCGTGCAAAACAGAACATGGATGGAGAAAGTTTTGATTTTATAAATACTATAGTCATAAAAGATACAACAACAAATAATAATAATATAATAATAACAATAAAGATTAATATATAATTTTTTCAGAATTCAAGAATTAAAGTTTTATCAATACATACCAGACTTTGAGCAAATATTATATCACGTTTTATAGATACTTGTGCATCTTCCATTTTTTTACATAACGATATATCACCTACTATTCTTGCAGCGTTTTTTACTTCACGGCATGTTTCATCTAATCGAGTAATACACCTAACAATCGAACCTTCCATTACTTCAGTAAGTTCTTTCATATATATAAAATCCTGAAAAGATCAAAATTTTAATTTTCGTAAATATGAGCTATAGCTAAATCTAAAAAGAACTGAAAAAATATACCTGACCCCTTGACCATTCGTAAACTACCTCAACGAGGCCAAAATTGAATTTATCAACATCAACAACGTCATCAAAAATAAGATCAACAGCATCATTAACAGTACGAACACTAGCATCACCAACATCCTTGGTGAGTTTACATTGAAATTGTACTTCAGACACTTTTTTTGCAAAATCACGAATCTTTTGTTTGCCCTAAGAAAATTTAAGCGTAGATTAACAATTTATTGAAGCAAATAAGAACATGAGGAATCAGTTACCTACCTGGTCTAGTTTAGGAATAAGTTTTGGTTCCTCGACAATTCTTTCCTGAAATATAAAACAGGACAACAATGCAACAATTTCTGAATAGTCGTAATCAGCAAAAGCATTTTCAAAAATAAGCTCAGTTAGGACTAGTTCATCAGCTGAATTAATCTATAATTATGAAAAAATAAAAAGATTTAATAATATTATTAAAATAATAATGCTATTTTGCAAATTTATCAGAAACATTCACCTCGCATGCGACGCGTCCCTTTAACTGCACAGTGCCTTCTTGATTAATGTATTTTAACTTCTCCAATACTTCAATCCTCCTATTATAATCCGGCAATAATGCAAGATTTTGATCCGACATAAATTGCCTTAAACGCTCGTGTTTAGTTTCAAGGAGACGTTCAGCGTGGACATGTCCATACTATCAATAAAGATTATAATATCTCATTAATAACATGTCGATAATAACAACTTCAACTATAATTATTAAATTTACATGTTCGACCAAATCAGGACAAATATTGCATTGGAAATTAAGCAATCTATTCATAAGATCGGTTTTTTCTTTTAAATTTTTTTGAAATTCAAAACCTTTTATTTTAGCCCAATCGTTTTCTATAATTCCAGCTTGAAATAGTATTTATTAATCAGTAATTATATTCTTAGCAGTTATAGCTTTATATTTCTAGCAGTATGAAATGAGATATATACCCGTTTGGGTTTCTATTGCGTAACGTAACAATTCTTGCATTATTCTAGTTACTTCCTGTTGATCTCGTTCGATCGCGGCATCACAATTCAGCTAAGGATTATTTAAAAAGTTGAAGTTCAGATAAGGCCAAAGTTCTTGAAAGAATGCAAATATATATATATATATATAAACTCCTACTTTAATTAAGGATTTTGTAATGATAGCAATATCTTTGTAAGGAAGACATATGATTTCATTGAAACAAGTACTTTGATCAGGAACAGAAACTCGAGTAACCGGTAACGGAGCTATTAATTAACCAGTTTTGGATATATATGAAATGAATTATATATAATCAAAAATTTTTAAAAATTATCCAAGTAAATTACCTTTTTCAGAATCCGTCATATGGTCACCTAAGAGCATCAAAACCCAAAATGATCGATCACTTCTCGTTGATGAAGGTTTTAAGATAACAGCAACAACGTTTCTATAAGACTAAAAATAAAGATTATACGTTATATATTACAAAGACTGCAAATAATAAAGCTTCAAAGCTAAGTTAAAAATGTTCATACATCATTGTTAATTATCATGATTCTTCCTTGGCTTAAAGCCTTGTTCCCCTGTGGTGTTAACATAATTGTTTCTAAGAGTTTATGGTTTAACTCTAAAATTCTAGTTGAAACATTATAATAATCTTTTATGTCTGGGCTACATATTGTACAATCTAGTTTTTGAAATGTGCTAAGGGACATTTCACTCTAAAAAGATGTAAATGTAAATTATAGATTGTATATATGTATAAAGTATTTTAAAGTATATATAAAATTATTTCTTACTTCCTCTAACTTTTGTTTGTATTTGGGTAGCAATATCTGACTAGAATGTTCTGAAAAACTACGTTTAATCATCTCTTCGACGCGTAATTCTTCAACACGTAAAAGGTTAAGAATCATGTTGTATCTAAGACGAAATTGAGATTTCAATTTTTCCGGAAGACCTAGAATCATATGCTTAAGAATCGATTGCTATGAAGAATATCAATTTCATGTAAGATCATATGATATATGTTTTTTTATCGTAGTAGGACTTTCATAATCACCAAATATATATAATAAAAGAAAAAGAGGCACATAAAGAGTTTATTGGAATTGTAGGGCTCTTGCTAAAAACAATCTTCAAAACTCTTTGACTCAAGGGGTAGTAATAATTATAAAAGATTTAATCAGGTAACGAATCCTACAATAAACTTTCTGTGTCATTTTTCTTTTATTATGTATAGTTTTGGTTTCACTCTAAGCTGGGATATAGTGTTTGATTGAATAGAACTTAACAACCGATCATTCGATCATATCAAAGTCCTACCTTCAGTACCTATAAAAAGGCCTCCCTAATTGCAACACCATGAATGCATGGATATGTATTTTTTTTCTCTAAACGTACGCGTTGATTTAATCTCAAGCTTTTTAAATTCTCTATAAGCAAATGTTCTTTATGAACATATGCGTTTTTTTTATTCATACAATCTGATGATGCAATTAGCAAGGGTTCCCTGTGCTAAATGAACAATTATTAACTTACATTAGGTGCTTCATCTTCTGTACATGTTATTATTACTACCCCAGTTTTGTCTTTACCACGGCGGCCTGCACGTCCAGACATTTGTGTATATTCACCTGATATATTGAGTTTTGATGAGTAAAAAAAAAAACAATATATATATATATATATAACCAGTTTTATATAACATATATTGAATTATACCTGGACGTAGTTCCCTTAATCCTTTACCATCGTGCTTTTTAATTCCAGAAAAAACTACTGTTCGTGTAGGCATATTAACACCCTTTAATTACAATATTAAGTTGAGAGTATATCTGAATTTATGCATAAATTCTTGAAAAAAAAAAAAAAGATATACAAACCATGGCAAAAGTTTCCGTTGCGAAAAGGACTTTCACTAGTCCTTTTTCAAATAATATCTCGACCAGCTATATATAAAACTTCTTAAGTATGTAAACTAAACAACTAAATGTATATGCAAAGTAGTTCCATATAAACCTCTTTAATTATTGGAAGTAATCCTCCATGATGTACTGCAATTCCCCTACTCAGTAATTCACGTATAGTTAATACTTGTGGTAATTTTTTATCTGATCCTATAAACATAAAATATAGCAATTAAATATGTTGTATTGATATCATAATAAACAAAATTCAAAACTAACCTTTCAATCGTGTTAAACACTTTTCAATAGTTGTGTGAATCTGGCTTTTTTCACCCGAAACACAAAGATCTAAATTTGGTAAGCAACTGGCGTATTCATTGCATTTTCTTTTGGAGAAAACAAAGACGACAACGGGAAGAAGTTCTTTCTTTTTAAGGTGACTAATAAGATTATTCCATAAGTTCTTGTCCTATTATTTAATGGTTAACGATCTTAATTTCTTATTTACTATACCAGCATTCTCATATATTATGGATCAAAACAAAAAAAAAAAATTTATTTATTACCTGTTGAATTGAGCGATAACTTCCACCGCCACCACCTCTATACCCACGTACCGCTCCTCGAGTACCGCGTGTGCTTCCTTTAGCATCCTTTTCTTTCTTATCTTTTTTTGACAGTATATCATTGACTTGTTTCAGACTAAAATAACACACTAAATTTAATAAACACAAACACATTAGACACATTAGAAGCAATAATAACTTACGCTGCAGTTAAAAAGTTTTTTTTATCATCTACAATTTTGTAAATCTCTTTATTTGCATACAAAAAGTGCTCAAGTGGTACGGGACGTTTGAGTGTGCTAATCACGTAAATGTCTTTCTTTTTGGTTCGACTATAAGAAATGACATAATTAAGACATGAAATTAATTCATAAAAACTGAAGAGTTATTTACAAACCCAATCCATTCAGCAAACTCCTTAGTATTTGGAACAGTTGCTGATAAAAGGACGAGATTAACATGAGCAGGGAGCATGATGATGACCTCTTCCCAAACAACACCACGCTTCAAATTATATAAAGAATGAATGTTTAAATTTTGACACTAAGATTTCTTGATAAATGAATTTAAACCTACCTCCGAATCATTGACATAATGTACTTCATCGAATATCACAAACTCAATATCTCTAATTAAATCGGCACCTCTATATAACATGGACCGAAGGATTTCGGTGGTCATGATCAAGCAAGAGGCCTCGGGTTTGATTTGTATATCACCGGTAAGAATCCCAACATCATCAAAATCCTTTTTAAAATCATTAAACTTTTGGTTAGATAGCGCTTTAATTGGAGAAGTATAAATTGCACTATACAAATGATAAAATTATAGCGTTAGTTAAATTATTAAAAGAATAGGAAAAAAAATGATATTGGTTTTACCGTGTCATATGCTTGGCTGAAAGAGCGATTGCATATTCTGCGACAGCGGTTTTGCCTGCGGATGTATGAGCAGCTACAAACACAGAATCACCATTCTCAAGGCGATATACTGCTTGCTTTTGAAAATTATCCAACTCAAATTTATACTATAAAAAACAAATCATGAAGAAAAATAAATCAAAAGAGACAAAATATTCGAATTAGATAGAAAAGACTTACTTCGCGCGCCATTTCTGCTACCAATTCTTTGAAATTAGGAAGTTCACTGTTGGCATCGATAACGTGAGCCCATTCACGATTACGGTTGCTACTTGTTGACTTAGTTGGCACATTTGACCCCTCAAGAAGTGGAGGCTAAGAAAAACGTTTTAGAATATGTAATTAATAATTAATAATTAATTATATACATATGAATACATACTTGCGTGGGCAAAAAGCTGTCAAAAACTTTTTCCATTTCATCTTTAGCTGGAGGTATTGTTTCCAAATTTGATACATCATCGACTATAGGTTGAGTCTACATAGCATAGACAATGATTAAATACTGATACTTTAGATATTAATATATATATATATTTAAAGCTGATATTAACTTTAGAACTTTTTTCTAAATCTTCTTCATCAGCAGGTTCAAGGAGTTCCACAAGTTCATCATCCTCATGGGTTATCATATCTGTAATATTTAATCCAGCTACAAATTTATTCTGCATTGATTTTGTTTGTGGTAGTTCGTCTATATTTGTGTATAAATCGAGCAATTAATTTAAATTAATTACGATCATTAATAATAATTTATTCATGTATACCTTCATAAATCAAGCCACGTTCGAATCCAGGAGGTACTGTTAACAATTCATCTTAAGGCGTAATATGAAAAATATTACGTGTAATAGATGGGTTATGATTAAAAGACTTGAGAGATTTGAATTAAATTCAATTAATATCAATACTATCACTACCTCTTATAACAAACCTTCCCCAAATGTTAATGCATCTGGTTCTTTATCGATTTCACTTATTGTATCAACAATCACTTCAGATTCCAATCCACCTGAAAAAACAAAGTTTAATTATTTTAAAGAAATAGTCGGATAGAAAACTAGATCACAATTACTTTACCAGGTGTAAACGGCAAATAATCGGACTTTCCCCTCACAAAAGCTTTCAACGCACCAGGTTCACGTAACAAAGATGTTGAATTCTGAGAAGTAACGGCGGATTCACCAATAGTTACCTAACAGGTTACGAAAGATAATCAAATAATGCATAATGAATGTTACTTCAGAAGATTATTTAATTAAATAAAAATTATATACTTCTTTATAACCGATTATATTTCCTTCTGGTCCACCTCGTACTACTTCCAAAGTAGTCCGAAATTTTGAAGGTCTCAATGAGGTAAGCGATATAAAATCGGGGTCACGTTCCCAATATCTTTATTAAGATTTTTTTTAATAAGAACTTTAATGACAAAAGAAAGGTCTTTCGTGAATATGTGAATTAATTACTAACTGTTGACATTTGGGTAACCAAGAGGTTGGGAATGATGTTTTCGGGGTCAAATAACGCTCTTCCAATTCTTTAAGCACATCTTCGCGTGATATCTGTCTTCCCAGCCCCAACGGCAACTATACAAACATTTGTCAGAAATTCGAACTGGTAAATTTAATCTCTCCTACACGTAAAAATGCTTACTAATGATAATTCTTTCAGTAGATCTTCTTGATCATAATTATTGTTAATTATTTGTAGAATAGTTTCAAAAACTTTTGTTCTAGTTTCTAAGTCTGTAAGGTTTATATATCTGAATTAGTAATGTTGCTTTCACTGGTGCACAAAATTCATTATTGAACAGTATGTGAAGTGTCTGCGTACCCTCTAGTGCATCCGCCATTTTATCAATTTTATCAATCTTGTTAATACGTGCAATGGGCACACTTGAAAATTTGAGCGGGAATTTTAAGTTATTTTTATTGCAATACAAGCATAAGATCGGGGATCATAAGCATCTGATTATCAATTATCGTATTTCAATTCTGTACTTGATGGATCGAGCAACAGATCTCATAGGAAAATATCTTTTAACCGGCTGGGTATATGTCGAAATTAAAAGTAATAAGTTAATTCAATTCTCCCGCTTAAACTTACTATTGCCCTATAGGTTTTGACCAACACAGTCTGTCGCACTCCCAGTTGTAATGTACTTTTTTTTTCCTTCATAATATTCTTCTAAAAATTGTGGTTCTGAAAGCCTTAACACGTTTCAATTCTAAAGTCTTTCGGTTCAACTAAAGTCAATTTTTAATACCACCGATAACCTTGTTCTTTTAAAAGTTCTGACAAAAGAAAAAATACCGATGGAATTTTGAAAATTTGTTACAATGTTGACTTGAAAGGTTTTAGAAAATTGAAACAATTTTTAAGAACCAATACCATATTTTATCTTTAGGTCCCCTTATTACGTTCCAAAGACAGCTCAGTATGGTTTTGTGTTCTTTGCGAAAAACCAGAAAATACACCTATAAATTCGCCACAAAATTCTTTACAAGAAAATCTTTCACAAAATGAAACATCAAATGCACCTAATAATATTGAACCGACTATTCTGAGCTCGCAAAATTCCACTCAAACCCATAGTGAAGTTAATATTTCCATAGAAGAACGACGTGAGCAGTCACGGCGTGCTTCACAATCTATTGGACAATACCTGTTACAGGGCTGGGCCTTAATCGATGAAGTATGTCCAAATGAAACTTGTTTTGGTGTAAGTGATAATTTTATATTATGTAATTATTATAAGGTCATACGAAGTTAATATCTTGTTTTTCATAACATTAAAACTTCAGAACAGACTTCCACCTGGTTTTTTTTAAATTTTATATATAAAGAATTTAAAAATATTTTTTATTTTCACCCGTTTATTAAGATATATAAGGCCATACATGTTAATTTCTCTTTTCATTTTTCATGGTATTAAAATTCTATACCGGACCTGCCCGGATCTTAACAGCTATTTTCATTATTTATGAGACAACTGATAACCGAATCGATAACCTATTAATTCGGTCATCGGCAATTTTTTCAGTTGTTCCAGAAATAATTTCAAAATTTGATCCGGTCGGGTTATTAAAACGAGAAATTAATTTTGTATTGCCTAAAAAAAAAACCCAGCCTGATTATGAAAAACAAAAAATTAATTCTGTACAGCCTAATCCAAATATTTTCGTATAAGTTTTTTTTTTTTATTTTTTTTTTATTGATTTTAGGTACCATTGATACGTTCTCGAGACAAAAAAAGATATTGTGTGGTTTGCCAACATTATTACATGAATGAATCTGACATCGATCATTCAAAATATAAAATTTCGCGTGATTTGGCACCGCAAACATCCACATTATCTTCCAACAGGTCCGTATTTAACGAAGAGAAGCGTAAAGTTTACGCCAAAGATACTGAGGTACTCTTTTTATAATCCAATAACAATAATGAGAATTATAAGCCACTTATGGCCAACTTTTTTTTTTTTTTGATGTTAGAATATAGCCACCAATTCTTTCAGCAACAATAACAATAATGAAGCGATCAATACGGCACAAAAAGCAATCATAGCGAAGCTTGAAGAATTAAGCGCTCGCTTACAAGATACCATCGACATATCTGAGGTTAAAAGTATATGTGATGCAATGAAAAGTTGTGCTCAAGCTTTGGAGGCTTTGGGAGCGTTAGATTGAACTTGACATAAGTGAATATAGATTCAAGAAATATATACATTTTTAATGGAAAAATTATAATAAATATTCGTTGAACATTTGCTGATATATATATTATGTATTAATATTAGTTATGTCTAAAAAATTTCATGCCCAACCAATTCCAAAATATTGCATGAATAGTTACAAGCAAAGTAATTGGAATAAGAAGGCAATAATATTCATCTATTTTAATCCAATCTAAGGTCTACAAAAAATAATAATAATAAATTAAACCAAATTGAAATATTAAATCATTCTTGTGAATATTAAAATAACTTACTTTATTTCCAGTTTCGGGCATAAATTTACTTACAACTATTGCATACATACTACCTATAAAAATACAATAAACAGTGAATAAAAGGATCCAGCCCCATAAAGCAGTAGTATCAGGTTCAAGTTCAGATAAATGTCTAGTGACATTTCTTGCGTAGGTTGGAGTATTTGGCCTTTCAATTATTGGCCTATTATTAAGAGAATGTTGTTTGATATCAAATATTGTGCCGGGAGAATTTGAGTGATCCGTATTATGGTGATTCATTGCCTGGGTGGTGAATAGGCAAAATGGCAAAAATGGTTATGGTTTAAGCTAGAATCACATGGTGGACATTTTAGATTTCTGGATTTGATTGACATGTAGATCATTTTACAGTATTATACCTGAAATATAATTAACCAATCACGAAAAATTAGCCACAGATGATAAAATTTTACATCAACGACCTATATCGATATGGTCAAACCTTTCTTGAGAATACATGCTATATAGCATGCATTTAAATTGGGAATTTAGAATTTTCAAACTATAAAATTCTATATAATTATCTTAATGCTATAGTGTACCTAGTGAAAATATATATATATACTTGTATAGTGTATGTATTTAGGGAATTTATAGCTAAGAGATATACCTCTCGCGAAATAGACTTTCACATCATATTGCTTGTGTGAAATGTGAAGGAAGAATCGAATTGATGTATCAGATTAGTAAAAATCAGTTCTACAGTAATTACTATAGTTTACTATTATTTTCATCTAAAAATTATTAGTTTATCATCACTTTCATATGAATGTTCTTTTTATATCCTTGGTTTTCTTCAAATTATCTTAAGGTTAAAGATATAGGAATCGTTGGTCAGTCGACTAATAGGCTAATTTGTATCAAACAATACTCGATTGATCGATTAGTCTAGATGAAATTTTATTTCACGAGAGAGGTCATCTCGCATAAGATACGTACATACGTACGTGAATCTAATAACGCTTTTTTCTTTTATAAAATTATATAAATAGAATTGTGATAGCTAATAATACGAAAGTTCGCCTATGATATAAATACCGAGAAACTTGATCGTTCTTTTAAAAAATGTCATACACTTTTGGGTCACATTTAATACGTTCAAGTCAAATATTTTTTTTCTCAAAATTAAGTTTCGCTTTTGTTAATTTGAAGCCAGTCCTTCCGTAAGTATCTTTTATTTTAAAGACATTCTTTTTCTATAAAAACTATAATAAATACTATTTATACTAGTGGACGTAAGTTCTTTTAATTTAATTTTTATTTTTTGGTCGTCCAATATATTCAACAAACATACTTTTCTTTAGATGTCTTAGTCGCGCCGTTTCGAGTTGTCCCCAGATTTACTGAGTTGACTTTCGAAGAGGTATATTTAATATTTAAATGCGAAGTAAACTATAGTAACAATTATCAGTATCTCACGATATAAGTTGTGGTGCTTTTTTTTTATAGATATGTGACTTGTTTTCATGTGCTCAAACAATTGGTAAAGTTATTGAACGAGAATATCATGCCACTTCACTAACCATAGCTATACAGGTTGGCTACCAGTTTAATTTTATTCTTTTTTATGATAATAATAAAAAAAAGTAATTCAAATTTTGCAAATCATAATTTATAAAACAGGATGGACCTGAAGCCGGACAAACGGTGGTTTCTAAGCGTAATTTATGTGTTTTATCCTCATAAATGCTATTGCTCATTATATATGTTTTTATAGGTACCACATTGTCATGTTCATTTAATTCCACGGAAAGCTGGTGATTACGCAAATAATGATGATATCTATAATGACATTGACAAATCATCAAAAATTGATAACGAAGAAAGGCAACCTAGAAGTTTAGAAGAAATGACAAAAGAAGCTGAATTTTTAAGACAATTCTTTAATAATAGCAGTAAATGAATAGCTTTTACATCCATGTGAGATTTGTAACACATTAAAGAATTAGAAGCTTATCATGTAGTTCTACTAATGACAATATTATTATGAATTTGATTTTGTTATTTATATATACTTTTTTTTTTACTTATGAAAAGATATTATTAGCAATAAACTTCTAGTATTTTGTTATCAGCAATATTAATTATAAGCTACTGTTTTATGTTTATAAATGAGTGCTGCAAAGCGAAAACCTATAATTGAGTTTTCCGAAAATTTAAATAATATATGTTGTGCGGAGCCGGTTTTCGCTTTGCAGCACTCAAATAAAAAAAAAACAATTAATAGTATACTATATATATTTCCGAAAGCTTGAGAAACTAACGAAACATTCAAAGCCATGTTGTAGAAGATAAAATAACGTATTTTCGCGGAATAACGCACAGGGGTGTAATTTTCGAATTTTGACCTAAATTAAGCCAAAATTCGAAATAACGCGCGTTATTTCGATCATTTTAAATTTTTTTTATTCCTTACACAGTTTGGCAGGCAAATCTGCTTGGGTTTACGGTTCATACTTCCGTCATAATAGTGCAATTTAAATTTGACGTACAGTAATTATTATACCTGGTACATTTTAATCGCTATAAAATTTACGTGCGATCAATGGCGATGTCTAATATAATAATTTGCAAGCTCTTGAAATTATAATTTACACAGTATATAGGTAATAAATGAATCGAGCATATAAATTAATAATCTGTATTATATGATAAATAAATCTTAAATTTGTTCAAAATTAAGTTGTTAATTGATGCTACTTTTTACTCTATTGACCAAAAGGTTTAATTCTGTAAAAGTCAATCAGAAATTCATTTTTTACTTTATATTCTATAAACGGCAAATAATCGGACTTTCCCCTCACAAAAGCTTTCAACGCACCAGGTTCACGTAACAAAGATGTTGAATTC